AGTGTCACACAGTGTCACACACAGCCCGGGGAGGGCCCTCGGCATCCCTGTCACCAAAGGGTCACACACAGTGTCACCAAAGGGTCACAGTGTCACCAGTGCCACCAAAGGGTCACAGTGTCACCGAAGGGTCACACACAGTGTCACACACTGTCACACAGTGTCACACACAGCCTCAGGGGGCTCCTCGGTGTCCCTGTGTCACCAAAGGGTCACCCACAGTGTCACACAGTGTCACCAGTGTCACTGAAGGGTCACAAACAGTGTCACCCACAGCATCACCAGTGTCACCCAGGGGTGTCACACAGGGTCACAGTGTCACACAGTGTCACAGAGTGTCACCAAAGGGTCACCCACAGTGTCACCCAATGTCCCACAGTGTCACCCAGGGGTGTCACAGTGTCACACACAGCCCAGGGGGGGCCCCTCGGCGTCCCTGCCACCAAAGGGTCACACACAGTGTCACCCAATGTCACACAGTGTCACCCAGGGGTGTCACAGTGTCACACACAGTGTCACACGCAAGGGGGTGTCACCCCCTGGGGTCACTGTCACCCCCAGGTGTCACCCCCAGCCCCAAAGACCCCAACTCCAAACCGGGTCCCCCTGAACCCAGGTTCAAAGCGTCCCCCACCCCCTTTTCGGGTCCCACCCCCTTTTGGGGGTCCCTATCCCCCTTTTGGGGGTCTCCACCCCCTTTTTTGGGGTCCCCATCCCCCTTTTGGGGGTCTCCACCCCCTTTTTTGGGGTCCCCATCCCCCTTTTGGGGGTCCCCATCCCCCTTTTGGGGGTCTCCATTCCCATTTTTGGGGTCTCCATCCCCCCTTTTTTGGGGTCCCCATCCCTCCTTTTTGGGGTCTGCATCCCCCGTTTTGGGTTCCCGTCCCCATTTTTGGGGTCCCATCGCCGTTTTCGGGGTGCTCACCCGGGGGTCGCGGGGGGTCCCCCGAATTTGCGCCGTTTGGGCTCGGGGGGGTCGGGCCCCCCCTGCTTCTCACGGCGCTCGGCGGCGCGGTCGCGGTACTTCATCTGGGGGGGCAGGGGGTGACCCCGGGACCCCCAAACACCCAGAGACCCCCCGGGACCCCCCAAAACCCCAGGGACCCCCCAAAACCCCAGTCCCCAGTGTCCCCTCACCCCGATTGTCCCCAGGTGTCCCCCAGTGTCCCCAATGTCCCCTCACCTCGCTGTCCCCTCATCCCTGGGTGTCTCCAGTGTCCCCAATGTCCCCAGTGTCCCCTCACCCCGATTGTCCCCAGGTGTCCCCCAATGTCCCCTCACCTCGCTGTCCCCTCATCCCTGGGTGTCTCCAGTGCCCCCAATGTCCCCAGTGTCCCCTCACCCCGATTGTCCCCAGTGTCCCCCAATGTCCCCAATGTCCCCTCACCTCACTGTCCCCTCTCTCGGCTCCCTCGGGGGCGCCCAGGTGGCTCCGGCGCTGCAGCTCCAGGTTTTGCTGGGGACATTGGGGACATTGGGGACATCAGGGACATTGGGGACAGCATTGGGGACATTGGGGACACCATTGGGGACAGCATTGGGGACATCGGGGACATCGTGGACATTGGGGACATTGGGGTGACCCTCTCAGTTTAGGGGACCCCAAAATCCCAGCGGGGTCCCCAAGGTCACAGTGGGAGGTGCCTGAGATTCAGGGAGGTTTGGGGGCATTCTGGGCTGGTTTTGGGGTGTTTTGGGATGTTTTGGGGTGTTTTTGGGCTGGATTTGAGACTGATGTCGGGGAGTTTTTGGGGCTGGTTTTGGGGGTATTTTTGGGATGTTTTTGCGCTGTTTTCGGGGTGGATTTGAGACTGGTTTTGGGGTGTTTTTGTGCTATTTTCGGGGTGTTTTCGGGGTGTTTTTGTGCTGTTTTGGGACTGGTTTCAGGGTAATTTTGTGAAGTTTTTGTGCTGGTTTTGGTCTGTTTTTTGGCTTGTTTTGGGGTTGGTTTCAGGGTAATTTTGCGCTGTTTTTGGGGTGTTTTTGGGGTGTTTTTGCGCTGTTTTTGTGCTGTTTTCAGGATGTTTTCGTGCTGCTTTCGGGGTGTTTTTGCGCTGTTTTCGGGGTGTTTTTGAGACTGGTTTTGGGGTGTTTTTGTGCTATTTTCGGGGTGTTTTCGGGGTGTTTTTGTGCTGTTTTGGGACTGGTTTCAGGGTAATTTTGTGAAGTTTTTGTGCTGGTTTTGGTCTGTTTTTTGGCTTGTTTTGGGGTTGGTTTCAGGGTAATTTTGCGCTGTTTTTGGGGTGTTTTTGGGGTGTTTTTGCGCTGTTTTTGTGCTGTTTTCAGGATGTTTTCGTGCTGCTTTCGGGGTGTTTTTGCGCTGTTTTCAGGGTGTTTTCAGGGTGTTTTTGCGCTGTTTTCGGGGTGTTTTTGTGCTGTTTTTGCGCTGTTTTCGGGGTGTTTTCGTGCTGTTTTCGGGGTGTTTTTGCGCTGTTTTCAGGGTGTTTTTGTGTACTCCACCAAACCCCCCCAGGATCCCCCAAATCCCTCCCAGATTCCACCAGGACCCCTCCCCAAATCCTTCAGCTGCTCCTAAACCCAACAAAGCCCCCCAGGACCCCCCCAATCTCCCTCCAAGAGCTTCCCAGGACTCCCCAAATACCACCCAAAC